AAAAAAAAAAAAAAAAAAAGAGAGAGAGAAATGAATTCTGATCCTAGCTTTGTGGTGTGAATAATGTTATTGGGACAATACAATGCAACCTCTCAGATTTTAGAGCCACCAAATCAAGGTATGACATATACCCTTTCACTTCAGAAAGGAGGGAAATCTTAGAGACCTGTAATGGGTCAGAGGCCTTAACAACACAGATGCTATGAAGAGTCAAGAGCCATTTTTCCACACTTTGGTCCCACCTGTGTCCCACTTAGATCTAATCTTCATCCCTGCTGTGGAGCTTAGCAAGATTTAGAGCCATGGCCCGTCTCTCATTGTTTCTACCTACTAATTTGAGTCATTATGTAACTTATTGCTATTTAACTTTATGGAGAGATAATACCAGCTCTTGCAATATTATCCTTTCTTCTCGACATGCCTGTTATACTGTATTTGGATAGTATACTGGGTAGTATTGGACAAATGAGCCTCCATCAGCCTGGAAATTAATGTTCTTTTGAATAGAGACGACTCCAAAGTCTAGTGCATCGGTTCTCAACCTGTGGGTCATGACTCCTTTGGGGGTCAAATGACCCTTTCACAGGGGTCGCCTAAGACTACTCTGCATATCAGATATTTACATTATGATTCATAACAGTAGCAAAATTACAGTTATGAAGTAGCAACAAAAATAATTTTATGGTTGGGAGTCACCACAACATGAGGAACTGTATTAAAGGGTTGCGGCATTAGGAGGGTTGAGAACCACTGGTCTAGTGGATGTTGGTTACTCAGCTCTGGAATCTGTGTCTTGGGGTTTGATAGGCCATTCTTGTCTGTTCTAGCTCTGATATGTGACCTGAAGGTTCCCCGGTGGGACTTCCAGACGGGTAGGCAGTTACGCACGTCTCCTCTCTATGACCGGTTAGATGCACAAGGAGCCAGATGGATGGAGAAACACGGATTTGAGAGGCCAAAGTACTTTGTTCCACCTGACAAGGGTAAGAAGTCACACTCTGGTTTAAGTGCGTGGTGTTTGTTTGTTTGTTTGTTTGTCCTGGGCATTAATAAGACTTATTTTTAAATCCATAAGCAGAATGTGTTCCTGGAAGAATAAATAATAAAAACTTGTTGGCTTGGTGCAACTCCCTAGCACAGTGGTTACAGTGCCAGCCACATGCACCAAAGCTGGTGGGTTCGAGCTTGGCCCAGGCCAGCTAAACAGCAATGACAACTGCAACAAAAAAATAGCCAGGTATTGTGGCGGGTGCCTATAGTCCCAGCTACTTGGGAGGCTGAGGCAAGAGAATCACTTGAACCCAAGAGTTTGAGGTTGCTGTGAGCTGTGACTCCTTGGCACTCTACTGAGGGCGACTCTGTCTCCAAAAAAAAACAAAAAAACAACTTGTTATAGACTGCACCTAACTGTACAGAGAGATGCCCCAGTGTAAGTCCTATCCTTTTCTCTCCACCTTTTGTGTTTTCCCTTCCATAGATCTCCTGGCATTGGAACAGAGCAAGACTTTCTATAAGCCAGATTGGTTTGACATCGTGGAGTCTGAAGTCAAGTGCTGTAAGGAAGCAGTTTGTGTCATCGATATGTCCTCTTTCACAAAGTTTGAGATAACAGTAAGTATTTGGGAAATAATAGAGGAGGAAACTTTGTATATTAAATGCCTCCTGTTTTTCATTTGTCACTTTAAACCTTGATTCCTTAAGGATTCTGGTATATTTTAGTGTTTCCTCTGTATTTTAACATTTAAAAAAAATTTTAGCTCCTTGTTTCTTGCTTGCCTAGAGGAGCCCTTTTGTCACAAAAATAAATAGCCATCTTCCTTGGAGCTTCTTGTTACAAAGTAAATCTACACATATGGCCACAGGAGTACTGGTTGGTTGAATTTCTCAGCAAGGCTTATTGCTAGTTGCTTCGTGTTACCCAATCAAGTACTTTTGTGCTTACTCCTTCTGCTTCATTCTCTAATCCTGCAGTCCACTGGGGATCAGGCCTTAGAAATTCTGCAGTATCTCTTCTCCAATGACCTGGATGTGCCCGTGGGCCACATTGTGCATACAGGCATGCTCAACGAAGGTGGAGGGTACGAGAATGACTGCAGCATAGCACGGCTGAACAAGCGCAGGTGAGGTTAGCTGCTGCCCTGCCCTGCTTCTCCAACATACATGTTCCTTTTTTTTTAGAGACAGAGTCTCACTTTATCACCCACAGTAGAGTGCTATGGTGTAACAGCTCACAGCAACCTCCAATTCCTGGGCTTAGGTGATTCTCTTGCCTCAGCCTCCCAAGTAGCTGGGTATACAGGCACCTACCACAATGCCCGGCTATTTTTTTTTTTTTTTTTTCATTGTTATTTGGCGGGCCCGGGCTGGATTCGAACCCGCCACCTTAGGTGTACGTGGCTGGCGCCTTAGCCGGTTGAGCTATAGGCGCCGAGCCCCGGCTATTTTTTTGTTCCAGTTTGGCCGGGGCCAAGTTCAAACCTGCCACCCTCAGTACATGGGGCTGGTGCCCTACCCACTGGAACTGCCTGACATACATGTTCCTTAAAGCTATTGTAGCTGAGCACCTAAGGCGCTTTTCTGAGAAAGTGTAATTATCCCAGGGACTATGGAACCATTTCTTTTTTTTTTTTTTTTTTTTTTTGAGACAGAGCCTCAAGCTGTCCCCCTGGGTAGAGTGCCGTGGCATCACAGCTCACAGCAACCTCCA